AAGATCCTGTGTCTTAATCCTGCAATATACAATCCCACACTTTCAAACTGTGAAGGTCAGAGGGTTTCACACCTGATTAATTCACAGCCGACTCTAATTAAACATAAAGGAGCATCGTATAGTTTTCCTCAGTACATAACCAAATCTAATAGTCTGGGCTGGGTTTTGTCTACTTAAGACTTAACACATAATATGTAGCAAGGATCAGATATTACACATCATCTCGTGCGTAATAGGAACGTGAGTCTAATGAGCCCTGCAGCCTTGTTTTGTATTCAGTGCATGTTGACATCAACAAAATTATTTGTGCACATTATTACTCCTTGTTTTACATGCCTCGTTACTCTTATGTGACATCTGTCTTCCTTGCTCAGGACTCTCCTATCAACAAGTTGCTGTATGCCAGAGACATCCCCCGCTACAAGCAGATGGTGGAGAGGTAAGAATATGGCAGCCGGTCGTCCCACTGACCCCAGGCATAAAAAACACTCTGGAAGGAGAGAGTGAGGCACAGGACGATCTGTCAGTGCCAGACAGAGGGTAGACTAAGCCCGCGAGGCTCCATGCATGAATGGTCTGAGAGCAGACTGCTACACTTACTACTACCTTCTGCACATTAAGCTCGGCATGTCGCCCTGCTGAAATAAGTGTTGCTAGACAAGATTTTAGGTAACACATGTGCTTGTTTTCGAAGCCTTATTAGCCTGATCTGCATTTAAAAATGATCACTTCATCTTTCTCTACACGTTTTCCCCACTGATACACCATAGACTCATAATTTGTCATATTTTCTTATTTAAAATTAAACAAGTCAAAAATGAACTGACAGTAATCAGCGGAGAGAGTGGCGAGCTCTTAGGGGTAAACATCTCTCTTGCATTTAGGTTCAAATTTCTGTGGATTTAATGTAAAAATCTGTGATTCCCTGTACCTCCAGGTACTACGCAGACATCCGTCAGACCATCTCTGCCAGTGACCAGGAGATGAACTCGGCCCTAGCAGAACTCTCCCGTGTACGTTACCTACTCTTGTTTTCCCATTTAGTCAAAGTAACCTTTTTTTTACACAATGGCTGAACACATAAATACTTTTAGGACCTGGAAGATTCCATTTAGCTGGGAGAATGACAAGCTGGATGTGGAGTTTGAAATAAAATATGAATAGCAACCGATGCAGTTTTTAACAGCTTTCCACCGCTGACGTTTCTTCGCCTCTCTATTTTTTACTCTCCCTGAACAGAATTACGCTGCTGAGGTCAACTGCCTCGTGGCTTTACATGAACTTTACAAGTACATCAACAAATACTACGATCAGGTGAGTATCACAAAATTACGCAAACATGATGCTTGCATTGCATAGTATGCTGTCAGGGGAGAGATTTACTAGTTGTGAGCTGACAGGGATTTCATGTAATCATTATTTAAAGAGCTGGCTATGTGCATATGTATGAACTGTCAGGAGTGTAGCTCAAGTTATTGATTGAAAAACTGATTGAATTCCCTGAAATATTTGGATGTCCGATCTCTGAAGTCCACAGTTGTCTCATACAAAACAGCATTAAATACTCAACAGAAACAGTATTTGCTTTTTGTAATTCTTGTTATAATTTGAATCTCACATCCCATTCGCCAATATGAAGTGGGCAGGGTTTACGCTCTGTATTGCAATCTATTTCCAGACAGAAATCAATATTTCAGGTTCACCACTAGGATCTGTCATGTCATCTGGTTTTTGTTTTTTATATATATATATAGTCCCCACAAAGTGGAGTTTGTGGGGATAGGTTAATTAATTATGACAGCTGGGATAGGCTCCAGCGCCCCCTGCGACCCTGAGAAGGATAAGCGGAAGTGAATGGATAGATTGATATATATATGTAGTCCTCCTTTCCTGACACATAGGATGATCACAGTGCACAACGCAGACTTAAGGTTTCATATGGTATTGCTCAAAATTAGTAACTGAGCCCATAAACTCACCAGGAAAAGTGTTTACTAAGGTCAGCGCAGATGGCTGTTTCCTCACTTTCACTGAGATTTTGCAGCAATGTGATGTTAACTTGTCTGCCATTTTAGATGTGTCACACTGTACGCTCAAGGCTCCAGTCATAGAGGCTTAAGCTGGGCAGACACTGTACGATTTTTTTCAGTCGCGTTATTCAGCTTCTGCTCAAACTGTACGATTGACTTGCAGGGGTTAGAAGTTGGTAGGTCACGATGCAGGTCTCACACTATATGGCCCGATGCTCTGATGCAACCCGAGTGCTCAAACTGTGCGTCCATAAAATGAAGGTTATAACAGAAAATCTGTCACTCGCTCTCCCTCTCTGTCTTTCACTCACACAGACACGCACACCACCACCATCAACTTTGCTAAATTGCTAATGAAAAACATTGATCAGGCAGCTGTGATTGAGCAGCAGTGTAGTTCCAACTATTTTCACGGTTGTTGTGGTCGTGATGATTTTGTGAGGCCACATCGAAAAGGCTCGGATGAGCTTTCCAAAGTTCTACAAGTGCCTCCATCGCTTGTGTCCAGATCACACGCTGCACTGCCGTGCTACTCCGTCTTTTTCACCGACGTTTATGTGTTTGCGCGTGCGCAGTGTGAGCAGCTGCGGTGACGGGAGGTTTGAAATCCTCCCGACCAAGCGATTGATGATCGGGAGCTGGTCGTGAGGTGTTAATCGCTTCTCGTTACCCCACATATACTACACGACGCACGATGAAGGCCAAAATCAGGTCGATCACCAAAACGGTCGCACGACTGAAAAATCGGCTCAAAATGGGCCAAAAATCGCACAGCTTTAGGGACAAGTCCACAATGATCTGGCAACCACTGAAAGGAAAACGTGTATTCCCAACCAGTTGATTCAAACTTTCTTGGAACTGTTTTGATTCTAGTAGATTTTCAAAGTTGCCTGTAGTTAGCATGGAAGATGCCATCTTGTCTGCAAATGTGCACCCAGGAATATCCTTAAGTTGGGGTCTTCAACTACACTTGACTGCAGCAATCTACTAGCAACCAAAGCGTGAGAAGCTTCTATAGGAGTGAAATCATTTCAAGGAAGATGGCTCATTGCTCTAACTTTAATATGTTAAGTAAGAATTTTAATTGAACTCTTTTTGCCTTCTATCAGATTATCACAGCTCTGGAAGAGGACTGCACGGCTCAGAAGATGCAGCTTGGATACAGGCTCCAACAGATAGCAGCTGCCGTTGAAAACAAGGTTACAGACCTATGATTTCCACGGCTGGGATAGACATTTGTGGAAAGAAACTTTCTTTGACATCTCCTTGGAAAAAACAAAACAAAAAGAAAACGTTTTTCGCCCTAAGAAAAGGGACTATTTGGTCACATACTGTGATTCTGCTGTCATTTTGACAGACTAATTGTTAGTGAGGTGTGTTTCCTGTGCTGAATCGGTGTGCACAATTACACTCCTCTTTTGTCTCATTTTGGAAGCAAAAAGAGCGCCACATCGCTGAGGAGGGGGAAAAAACTGAGAAAATGTGAAACCGAGCACATCAAAACAAAAGAATTTCTTCTGAACCTTGGATTTCTGATGTTTAAGTCACCTAAAGGGAAATTAATAACAAAACAAAAGAGATCATTTTGGGGGGGGTTTCTCTTTCTTGATGGACATTTTTCAGAGTTACTGCACAGAACATTCCTGCCCCGAGTTTAAATGTAGATTTGTTGGAGAAAAAAAGAAAATCTAAGTGTGCTGGAGGACAAAAGGGAAAAGGAGGATTTGACCTTAAACACCAACAGCTTTAGAGTTTTCTACCATGTTTTCTCAAAGTCTTACAAATTGATAATGACACTGTCAGTGGTCTAAGTTATCACATATTGAATCTGAAGTATGTTTTCATTCTGTTTTTACCTTCCTGAGATCAACCTTCCAAGTCTTACTCTGTTGTCATGTTCAGTTAGCTGTTATTGGATGGTTTCCCTGGGTATATTTCATTTTTTAAACTCGTCATTACCAGTTCTTTTACTGTAATTTGTAGCTGCGGCCTAATTTAGTTTAAAGCCAAGACTAATGTTTTCTAAAAGCTCTCAATCTGCTTTTTTTTTTTTTTTAAAGATAACCTACAGCTTGGGGAATTTTCTTTTTTAAGTAACGTTTCACAAATTTTGTTGCATTTTGCAATCTTTGCTTTTATTTGCAGACGCAAAGCAGTTTGACAAAGACATTTGTAGCTGACTTAAGAACAATCCGTCCAAAAGTCAAATCTTCTACACAAGTTAAACTACATGCAGACAAAATTCATACGAGATCAAACCCGAACTTAACTAGCAAAAATATTAAAAATAAAATGCACAAAAGAACTGAGGAACACTTTTAGAAATGTCAAATACTGGGGACATTTACTTTTGATTTTAAAGGTGTCTCATAGGTTGTTCTAGAGAAGCAAAACAAATAAAATGTGGAATAAACTCAATGAATACTTGATTTGTACACTAAATTATGATGAAATCATTTTCCCTTTAAAGTCAGGTTGAATCTAACACAAGTTTTCTAGGGTCACTGTCTAAAGTACACAATTAAATAAAATTATTTATGTATTCTTTCTCACTCTGGCCCATCCTGCATAGATCAGCTGATTGTTGCGTCTGCCGTTCCAAACACGTTGCCAACCCTTACAGAGTGCCCTCGGGTCACCAATCGATACACTGTCACCACATAAAATAGTAGAAAGGTGTTTCTCCCGTCTCTGTTTTGCTTACTTTTTAATTTCCATTTATTGGCCATTATAAATCCTGACACCAACAGATCTGTAAATAGCTAATATTGGCTAATGACATCAGCCCGTTGATAAATTGGTCGGGCTCTACTTGATATATATTTTCAGAAAGACCTGTTTTCTCTTCTCTGTGGTCACATGACCACTGCTTAAATTCATTGTTTCAGGAAAAATATGTTTTCGCTGAATCTTGTTACGCTGATGAAGCAGTGTCAGTGTATGTGTAATTTTTTTTTCCTTTACAAAACGGGGGGAAAAGCTCATCTCTGAGACTTATAATCACACATTGTAATTGCCTAACAAAGGTGCCTGTTGCTCTGCCACGCCTCATGCGAGAATCCTTTTATTTTCCCAGTTTAATTTATTGTTTATTTATTTTATTGCATATGTTGTTGGATTTTTCCTTACAGATCTATGAAACATTTATTCCCATCAATTTCAGATGTTTTTTGTTTTTTGTTTTTTTTTTGTACATCGAGTTGGATTTGAGGAGTTTCAAACTTCAAACTCAAATCCAGTTGTTCTCAGATGCTGATTATTTTTGAACATTTTGGACCCATTTTAAATGTTTCAAGGCAGTTAGCTTGTAAATTTAAAAAAGCAAACAAACAGGATTTTTTTTTTTTTTTACCATGTGCATTGGTGTTGCTTGTGTAAGCAAAGCTCAGTTCTGATGTTTGTTCTGTACATACTTTTCCTAAGTAATCATGACTTTAGCGTTCTCTAACCAACTGATAGGATGAACCTAACAACAGTTTAATGTGATGCAATAAACAGGTCCAGATGTTAACAGAAGTTTCATTTTTTGCATTATTAAATTTGTGTGTAAATATTTTTTGGAACATGAGTTAATTTTGACTTCTTTTGAAAGAAGGAGGATGTTGATGTGTTTTCAGGAGCAAATATGGTTCACTTGTACAGTTCAGTTTAATTCATGTCTAGCTCATTTTCACTTCAAAGTGCCTTTATATAATTTGAGATAAGGATCCTAAAATATTTCAAAATTTTTTAATATATGTGATTTTCTCCTCATTAAAACACTGTAACTGAACACCTCCGTCTATCCAGAGGCTAGTGAGCCAGCACAATATATATATATAGCCACTGGTAAAAAATGGGCAAATGTAACTCAAGCAACTAACTAGGTACACCTTTCTTTTTCTTTATTTTTTACTATGACAAAAGATGGTTATCACACTAAAACACATACTCTTCATTAGGTATGCTGATTTTTCTGGAACCAAAAGTTGCCATATTTACTGAAGAACAGCTGAAGTTAACGAGTTTTTATCTGCTGTTTAGTGTTAGTTAACATGACAAATAAAATACTAGAATTTCACTGGCTTCTTGGATTGTCATTTATCAGACAATTCCAATAAAATGCTCAAAAAAGGCACTAACAACACAAATATAATCAACAGGTTCAGTTTATCAGATTGATTTGGTGAAAGTAATGTCAGCAATACATGCTGCAGATGCCTGTTGGTGCATTTTTACATGAAACGGCCTGCCCTAAACACCTCTAAGCCGCAACATACAGAGAAATGAGCTACAGAAAAATATAGAGAGAAATGCACTTGTTACAAAGACTTTAATTGCCAATTAAGACGTGTAAACTCCAGTTAGCCATTTTAATATGGAGCAGGCTGCAGGGACTGACTGGCTGTTGGTGAAACAGCAGGTTTTAGTAGTGTTAAGCTCCACTTTTAGTCCCACACACTGTCTTCACCAAGTTTGTGGTAAACACTTGGGTCCGTCCCTAGTACTCATGCAGTATTGTAGCAAAAATAGTCAGGTCTCAGCCAACATGTCACAGTCCCATTTCCATTGCAAGATGATCTATTTCTAGAACGAGAGCGTTAAAACCTGGATGGATCCAGCTCACAGATCCAGTCCAGTTATTGTCACTGCTATTAGTTCGATCGGTCACTTTTTCTGTCTAAATGTTAAACAGGTGGCAGCCACAGGCCTTTGTTGGGAAGCTGAGTGTATCAAACACAGTATTATCATAGACTCAACAATATACAGAATGTATTTCCTTTCCAGTGTTATTGACAGGACACGTTTTTTGTTTGTTTTAAAACAGCATCCCATCAGCACTGTGACAAGTCCCTGGTTCTTGATAGCGATTAGTGCAGTAACTGAGTGTCAGCTTGTATATTAACTGCTTCCTGTCATCAGTAATCCAGGATAGAGACTCCATATTTAGACGTCTGTAAATGTAAGAGTATGAGCACCTGTCACATGCAGCTGGTAATGCCACACCATGCTCCACACAGAGATAACAGCAATAAGTATGACTGCTCAGATTATCAGTAAAAATATGAAGTATTTCTATATAAGCTGCCAGTCAGTGTGGTGTTTGTATGTGTTTTCTTGAGGCAGGCGGGCGATGAAACGTAGTCACCCCTGAAGATATTTAATGTGTGCGTTCTGTGTATATGTTTCAAGTTGTAAACCAAAGACAGGCTGGCTGACTGTGGTCATAGCAAAAAACAGTGCAGGTCACAGTTCAGTCTGTAGTGGGTGGGGGGATCAAACGCATGAGTTAGCATGTATACTTTAAGGAAGAAGTTTGTTGCATTATCTATTTATTTATCCCTTACTAACCCAATGATCTAAATTTGTGCAGGTGCTATTTTGATTTCTCCACACACACACACACACACACACACACACACACACACACACACACACACACACACACACACACACACACACCGATTGCTCCTGTGGGAAGTGTGTTATTACAGCTGAGTGCAACTGGAGAATGGTAACAGCCAGCACAGGCTTTTAGGATTAAGATTGGACCAACATTAGAGAGTAATACCAGGACATGAGAGGATGGGCTGGAAAACAAGAATGGACACCTGCTCGCTCCGACGCTGTGCAACAAAACAGCCTAGTGAGAACTTTAAAGAAGCCCTGGCTTGAGCTTTGTTTGTTCTACCGTCCAAACAGGCTTGGAATATTTTTCAAGAGATCAGTATAACAGCCTATATTTGTAAAAGTACTCAGTAGGTTAAGGCCTGTGTTTAATCCTACATTCTGAACCTGTGAATCTCTACATGGTCTCCATGGTCTGCTGAGCGTTTGGTGGCCTGAGCTGGAAAGCAGTGCAGATGGAGTTTGTTGTTTTGGACCAGAACTGGTTGAACACGTGTTTTGATTTTCGGCTTGAATCTTTACAGTGATACCTACTATTCTCTAGCATTTGATTCACATCATTTTTTTAAACAGACACATACTGTGTCAGCACATGACAAACACCTTAGCAAAAAACCCCATTTAAATTCACATCTTTTGACACTTACTAGCAGCCTGTTGCAAAAACATATAATTTGTTCCCATTTCTTCAGTTACAATCTTTGGAATCTATGAAAAATGCCAAAGATAACAGCTTGGCAGGCTTAAAATAGGATTTTTGCACCCAAAATACCATTAACTGTTCTTACTAGCTATTACCTGAAAACCATATGGGCATGGTGTGCAGCCTCCATCCATTTGCTTCCGCTTATCCTTTATCAGAGTCGTGAGGGGGCTGGAGCCTATCCCAGCTGTCTTAGGGTGAGAGGCAGGGTACACCCTGGACAGGTTGCCAGTCTGTCGCAGGGCTAACACATAGACACAGACACCCATTCACTCTCACATTCATGCCTATGGATAATTTAGAGTTTCCAATTAACCTTTCCCCAATAACTGCATGTCTTTGGACTGTGGGAGGAATCCAGAGTACATGGTGAAAACATGCAAACTCCACACAGAAAGACCCTGGCCTGATGGTGGAATTGGACTCAGGACTGTGAGGCAACAGTGCTAACCACCGTGCTGCCGTGTGCAGCCTGTCCTTAAAAAGAGAACTCAGGAAACTAGACAAGTGGAGGACAAAGAAGAAGTGGCAGGCCTAAAAATGATCTACAGCAGATGAACAGTATCTGAAAGTTATGCCCTTTAGAAAAAGTAAAGAAAATGCAGCAAAGACAGAAGCAAAGAGAGATCTTCATCAGAAATGGTCTCAGTGAAAGGCTGGCTGAGACAAAAGGCTGAAGTATGATGATATCATCTGGAGGTTAGGATTGTCTGCAGTCATGTACAGTAAACACACTCCAGCTATAGTTTCGTGTGCTTTGCAGCTGGAAAATTTCAAGGAGACGCGATGCCATCATGTGTCATCTGACTATTAACAGTTCTTCATGTGAGGTCGACAGGCCTCTTGATATCTCACATCACACACACCCAACCCTCATTCCTCTGCCTTCAACACGCTTCCCTGTTTTACGAGCCAGGAGCTCCTTTGCTCCACGGCATCCACTATAAAATGCGGTGCCATGTAAGAGTGTTAACAGCATGGTGTTGGCAAGAAAAAGCAGACTCAGCCACTGAGATGTGAAGGAGGCTGTAAGATCAAGTGTACAATATATTTGTCAAGATTGTGCCAGGTGCTTCTGTTAAACTTCTTCCTCAAAAGCTGAGCTCATCTAAATGTAAAATCCTCATACAGAGAGGGTTTTAAATTGCAATCTGTTTTTAAAAAATGGGACTTTCAGCCAACCTCTGTTCTAACGACTTTATTTTAATCCCTAAGAATGTGCTGCAGGCAGGTTTAGCAGTCTGTGCTCCCTGTAGCAGCTGTCGTTCCCTCTCTTCCCTCACTCTGTTCGGCCTTGTGTGACGTTCGGCTCATCTTTTAGGGGCGCCTTCTCTCTTTTATAGCTTTCCCAGCATGCACGAGACATCGAGGAACAGAGAGAGAGAGTTTAATCTGAGGCTGGTGACTGAAAGATGCAAGTCCTGCAGCAGAGCAGGTGAAAACCTGACAGACTGTGAGCCAAGACCCTGCGGGGGGATTTCCATGTTTAGACCCTGCTGACTGCTGATTCCAGCCTCCTGAGAGACTAAGCAGACCCCCACCACAACCCCTTCTACCTCCACCACCTCCACCTCTCAGCTGCTTAACTTAACTAGATTCAAGGGCAGCAACTGTAATCAGGGCTACTTGCTTTTTTCCTGCGCCTAACTCTCTCCTCACTTTATGCCAAAAAAATCTGAAATTTTAAGGTACTGGCAACATCTGCTTAATTGCACCATGCAGAGGAGCCCCTGCCTGCCTCATACAGAGGCTGAACAGCATCGTGTGTGAGTATAAAACTTTCTGCATTAGTATCATCATTATTATTTCGTTTCTTCTTTCATGTTTTTATGTAGCCTTGCATTCTTGCGTGCCCTCAAAATGCAACTCAGCTCCTAAACTCTTTTTTTTTTTGACATTATCGATAATTATTTAAAATTTGCCCCTAAAATCTTTCACATTTATTCGCGTCTAGCTCTTAAACTCTACTGTATATGTCCCTCTGCTGAAAACAGACCTGTGATCAGTATTTCCAGACATGACGTGACTCCGACTCCTCGGGCCATCTGTGTATTGGGAGCAGCTGGCGTGCAGAGTTATCATGTTGCGCGGAGATGCTTCTAAATGATTTACAGCCTAGTTAGAAATAGTGCAACTTCCGGTGCTGCTTGTCCACTCTCAGCTGGGCAGTGGGGCAAACGTCCACGGCACGCTGAGTCTGTGGGAATCTCCAAAAGTAGTTCAGCTCTCAGAAACTGACACACATATGAATACACTGTTTGAATTTCTGGGTTTGTGTGTGTTTGCAGGAGTGAGGGTGGCGTGTCTAACAGTTTCAAAGCCCTTGGATGCCAGGAGCAGCTGGATCCCAAGGACAGTCAGGTCTCTGAGGACCCCCAAGAATACTGTTATGGTAACTCACACATGTATCCTAACTTTTATCCCGAGCCTCTCGAAACCCTCAAAGCAGCTTGTACCAGGATGTAATTAAAGATTCTTTCAACATGCTGACTCTGTTATTCAGAGCCCGCTCCAGCTGGAAATGATGCAGTGTTTATGAGAATGGGCCGCTGTTGCAAGCTAAGTTCCTGTTGGCAGCATCATTTTGAGACACTGAGCGTCCAAGTACGACGAGAGGAGCGCTTGGGCGGTGGATTGGACAGCTTTAAAAAGGAAACAGTTACCAGATTCTGGTTTGTGGAAACAAGATTGGATGAGTCTGTGAATATAATGCAAAACTGCACACTGAGCTGTTTGAAAGAAATCTTAACATGTCAGATACTGGACAGAGTAAAGTCTACTTTTAGGTTTGTCAGATTCACTACATATATTACCCGCTCGTATATTAAACACACGCCTGATATCATGTACTCTCCATTGTGCCACCATTGAACATGGAGTCATGCACTCTGAGACATCTCAAGATCCCCTAAGGATATCAGACACAAGGACATTATCATCAAATCCTTTCATCTTTTAAGTTATGAGGTGGGGTCTCCATGTATCCCACAAATTCTCAGATTCAGGAATTTGAGAGCCTTAGTCAACCCCTGAGTAATCTGTCATGTCTATCAAACCCTTCATCCACATTATATAAAAGAAACGGCGACTTCAGTAGTCCAGTTCACTTCAGTAGTTGCCCTTTTACAGATACTTTTGACCAAGTCACCAATCCGTCACAATTTGGCCTTTTGCCAAAGTAGCTGAGGCCTTCTTGCACATTTCTCTTCACTCCATTGCTCATTCATGACTGTATATAAAAGATATATGCATATAAAAGATGGCTATAGCCCCTGAGACCTAACCCTTTGATTATGGTCTCTTCAGTTTGATGTCTCAATGTTAGCATTTTTGCTAACATTGCTAGCTAGCTACACTAAGCTTCATTGTCTAAGGAGCTTGGAAAGAAAAGCGTCTGGACTTCTTTGAGTTGCTTGAAAACGTTTCACCTCTCATCCGAGAAGCTTCTTCAGTTCTAAGTGCAATGGTGGAGAGTCCCAGATTTATACCCAGTGGGAGTTTCCCCCCAAAGAGGGACAAAGGACCCCCTGATGATCCTCTACCTAATCACATGAGCCAAGGTGTGAAAGCGGGTGTGGGTCACAATCAGCCAGGGTTTCGGGTGAGCTCATTGTGAAACCTGGCCCACAATGAGCTCACCCAGCTCCTTAGACTACGATGACCTGGATGACTGAGAACCTTCACAGACACTAAGCTTCATTCATAAACCACATGGGTGCAATATACAAGCACAAATAAATGTGAATTAGTGCTAAGAAACAGACTAATAAAAGACTAAAGTCTAACTGACTGAAGCTCATGCAGTGTAGGTAAGACCTGGTAGGCCACAAGAACCATTTTTGTATTAGTAAACCTACATTTTAATGATGTCCAGTTGAATATTTTAACATGAAGGTTTGCTATGATTGACTTGCTTCTGGGTCAGCCTCAAGTGAACATTAGAGTGTGTTTAGCAGTGGCTTTGATTTTCAGACCAGGAAGTTGCCGGTACTGTATTTGCTAATATTCACTGCATCTTTATAAGGTCACGGCTATAGTTACCTCCACCAAGGAAGTTTTGTTTTTGGTAGAACATGCACGAAAATGCTATCTGCAAACACAACAACTCAAAAGATTTGTAGGGGTGTATAGTGGGGTCATGTTAACAATCCATTAAAATGTGCCTTTTATCCACCAAGCTGATGCAAAGTGAATATATATACAACAACAACAAAAAAAAAAACCCACTATTGCTTTAAAACTGCCAGGAGAGAGAGCTGCCTTGGTGGAGGTTTGTGCTCTTGGAGTGCTTCGTGTAGATTTAACTTTTCAGGCTCCATTTACTGAAATGCAGCAGTTTGAAAAGGAGATTTTGACTTGGGGTCAACTTCTTACAGGTCAAGAAGAAGGCAGGTTCAGACATAATTAGAACTAGACAGCCTATGTATAAGAAGAGCAAACCACAATGACCGAGAATATAAGATCACACACCTACCGTATTGTGAGTTGACTATAACGTGACCATCTATTTAAGTTTAACCTTAAGGTGAGCCAATATAACCCCTTTCCCCCATAAAGACAACATTTGACAACCTCCACTGTACCCTTATTGACAAATTCTGACACAATAAAGTTCTAATTTGACAGACACTCTTGACCACTCTTGCTAACTTCTGATGTAAATGCAGTCATTTTATTCTATTAGCAGCCTGAATTATGACAGAAACTGCTTAGCTCAGAAAACAGCTTTGAGGGACTCCTGTTTGGCTTTTGAGGGATAAAAAGTCAAAGATGATCATAAGAATCCATGCATATTTTTTCTTGTGCTTTGCTTGTGTAAATCCAAAGTGTGGCTTCTCATAAGCCTCATAGCTGCACTAAGCCTGTGTGCCTCTCTCATTATGCATTGCTTTAATGCGCAGTATCTGGTTGCCAATTTGCTGGTCTGACCTTGGTCCTCGCTTCTTACCTGCCAGCTGTGCAAGTCTTTGTGTGTACCTCATATATCCTCTGCTGCGTATGTGATACCACCGGTGCCTGACACAGTAATAAATCACAGGCTGGTGTATCTCATGCTTAAATTTAATAGACACAGAAATTCAGTTTCAAGACTCCTGACAATGTCCAACAACTGTGTGTCATGCTTGCTGAAAGAGAAGCGATACAGACGTATGCCTCGCCATTTTTCTCTGTCCTACTAGCAGATCTGAATGTATTACTCACTAACAGACATGTTATAGCCTATAGGAAGTTGCAACGCCAGAAATAGCTTTAGCAGCTATATTTTTAGTCATCTTTCAAAGCTCTCTAAACAGCATATGGAAAATCGTTAGCGAATGATAACAAGGTTTCAGATGTCAGGTCATATAGAGAAGTGCCTAATCACTGAAACCTAGAATAAATTCAACCATATAAGCAGTTCAACTAGAAATGGGACGTTGTTCATTCATGTCATTCTGCTTTTATCCCCCCAAGGTGGGTACCACCCCATCCAGATAGGGGACACCTTCAACAGAAGATACCAGGTGGTGTCCAAACTCGGCTGGGGTTATTTCTCCACTGTATGGCTCTGCCAGGACCTCAAGTAGGTTCATTTTGAGACTGTGTGATATGATCAGGGTGGAAGCGGTGGAGAAATTTGATCTTATTAGGCATCATATAATAATAATAATTAAAAATTGGATCAAACAAATATTTAGATTGAGTCTTTTACTTTGTCCAGTAACCAGCATGCACATCTGATCTGGTGTCTGTGTTGGCAGGCTAGGTCGGCGTGTTGCTGTGAAGGTGTTGAAGAGTGGGGCTGGCTTCACCCAGGCTGGAGAGGATGAACTGGCTCTCCTGCGATGTGTTAGTGATCGTGCTTCTGCTTGTGAATCTCCTCTCTAAGCGCTCTGTCTGTCAGATATTTTTCTCTGTCATATCTTTGGAGCATCACTCTCTGCCAATCTTTTAGTAAAGGACAAATCATCCCCTCCCTCTTTAAAAAAAATCTCTTCTTGCTCTTCTTCCTCTGTTTTCATCCTCTCGTCTCCTCTCTTTCAACAGGCCAGTGGTTCTGTGGGCCGTCACCCCTTTGGCCAAAGGATTGTTCGACTGCTAGATGAGTTTAAGCTGGTTGGGGTCAATGGGGTACGTATCCTTTTTGGAGATGGGATTTCTTGGGCGCATATTCCAGAATCCTTTGAGCTGTTCCATTACATCATTGAAACAATCAATGTCAAAGTATTAAAATGTGAACATGTTGTAGTGGATGTAGTTTTTGCAGCAAAGTGGTTTGGGAAACTGACCTTAATGTATGGTGGTTAGACATTTGCCTAGTGCTGGAGCTGCTGGGGCCTGACCTGAGATGCTTGCAGCTCTGCTTTGGGAATCCAGGACTGTTGCAGCCTTGGGTCAAACAAATACTTATCCAGGTAAGACAAAGAAGACCAGAAAACCCAGGCACCAGAAATCAAGTTCATATAAGGTGTGTTTAATTTAAACTGCACCTCTTTGTTCAAAATTTGTGGGATAATTTTTTAACCAATAGGTTTTTGTACAGTTTCCCATTTGGGGAAATTTGAGGTAAATATTTCTGAACAAACAGTTAGCGACCTTGATCTTAATGAGATCTCTAAAAGTTTCAATCTGGTTTTAATCACTACACAGCACTGAGACAACATGTTTAGGGGCTTTTAATGATATTCTTTTAACTCTGGTTTCTGGCAGCCCTACCCTCTTGTTGTTGGACCTGACAGCAGCCTTTGACACGCTGACCATGATATCCTGCTATCACAGCTGGAATCTTATGCTGGCCTAAAAGGGTCTGCTCTTCAGTGGTTTTCTGTAATTCTCTGTACTTTGGTTTGGACCAGGCCTCTATTTATTGTCACCAAATGCAGCTGCTTTTCTGCTAACTGGCACAAAACAGAAGGAGCATACCACCCCAGTGTTGGCCTCCCTACAGTAGCTTCCTGTTCCTTACAGGAGCCAACTTAACATTTTACTTTTTCTTTTTAAATCACTAAACGGCCGAGCCCCTTCTCACCTGTCTGAGCTCCTATTTATTTATACTCCAGAAAGAACCACGAGGTCCAGGTCAAAACTAACTTTAACTATTCCACGGTCTAAACTTAAATCTCGTGGTGACAGAGCCTTCTCTATACCAGACTTCGTCTTAATGTTAGATCTGCACAAACGCGCAAACTTTTTAAATCGTTACTGAAGACACATTTTTATGGTCTGGCTTTTAACGCACGTTGACCTAAACATTTTGGTTTTAACAGCCTTAGTTGTTGTTGTTGTTTTTATTGACTATTACTGATTTAATTTATTGATTTATTGATCAATTTTTCGTCACTGGGGCAGCACGGTGGCACGGTGGTTAGCACTGTTGCCGCACAGCAAGAAGGTCCTGAGTTCAATTCCACCATCAGGCCGGGGTCTTTCTGTGTGGAGTTTGCATGTTCTCCCCATGTTTGCGTGGGTTCTCTCCGGGTACTCCGGCTTCCTCCCACCGTCCAAAGACATGCAGCTTGTGGGGATAGGTTAATTGATTAATCCAAATTGTCACTAGGTGTGAATGTGCGAGTGAATGTGAGTGTGAATGGTTGTCTGTCCCTGTGTGTTAGCCCTGCGACAGACTGGCGACCTGTCCAGGGTGTACCCCGCCTTTCGCCCTATGACAGCTGGGATAGGCTCCAGCGCCCCCCGCGACCCTGAAAAGGATAAGCGGAAGCGAATGGATGGATGGATGGATTTATTGATTTAATTTTTTTCTCTTCTATATTTTACTGTATCACTGTTGTGCATTTTATTTATTTTAGTGGCATTTTACATTGTTAAGCAATTTACCAACAGTCCATGCTGCACAATGTTAATCTAGGCTAATCATTCTGGCTATAGCTTAGTAATTTATAATAATAATAAAAAGAATTTTCCCAAAAGTGTTGCTTAAACAAACTTCAATAAAGGAAGATCTCAAATTGTGAAAACACTGACATGGTGGGGGAATCAACGAGAGCTGATTCCCGATTCCTGATGTTTTTTCCTGATAAAATCATCGGTGAGGGAGCAGGAAAGGAAAGGAAACATCATCAGATCTGTGTATTTTTCTATAGGTCCTGCAGGGGCTGGACTACCTTCACTCTCAATGTAAAATCATCCACACAGACATCAAGCCAGAAAACATCCTTGTGTTTCTGGAAGAGCAGTCCCACAAAGCACCAGCAGGGGGCAGTAGCTCCTCCTCGTTACAGACTGGGAAGGAAGCCAGTTCACCAGGCACGTTTTATTTTGTCCTTCATTGCTACAGATGCTTGAGAGTGTTTAAGAGTTTCAGTAATAAAAAGGTTCAGCGCCAGATATTTTTATTTCTGATGGGCCGTATAGGCAACCATGCAGCTGTAAATACATAAATAAATATTTGCTTCAGTATTTGTGGTGTTTGTTTTTGTGCTAAGAAAAAAAATAATGAAACTAATTCAACATATAATCAAGCAAATACATTAACCATGCCATCCCAGCTATTAGAGCTGGACAAAAACAGCTGTGTACTATTTAATTTTAATATAAAACATTTATCTTAGAAATCCAAATTCATAATAATAATAATAATGTTTGTTTTGTTTTTTCTCCCAGAAAGCAATCAGGTAAACCTGTACAGCTTAAAGGAAATTGCAGTGAAGATTGCTGACTTGGGGAGCTCCTGTTGGGTGGTTAGTATTTACACTTATACACTTATAAAACTTTTGGTTTAACATATTTTATTAGTGTATTATTAAATTGTATAAAGGGTCAGCCACTTTATGTTTTTGTCATCAGAAGCTTGCAACATTAGCCTGAAAGGTGACAACATTATATGTCAACATTCTGTTCCAAAATGCTCTCTGCTGCCCCCAAGTGGACAAAAGTATTGTATTCACTTTTGGTACTGTGTGGATGTAGTTTGATCACATTTAATTATCTTAATAGCTATAGAATTGAAGAGGTTCTCTTAAAAAGCGCTATAAATCCTCCAAAGCAAAGAGGAACTGAGGTTTTGTATTGTACCTCCACACTCAAAGCAAGAACTCGAGCCAGATTTGGAAGAAAAAGGCAAAGTTTATTGTAAGAAGTGTAAACATGATGCTTCAACTCTGCTGAGAAGCCACACTGTAGAACACAAGTGACAAAGAAAATAAAACAACGAGGAAGGGAATAAAGAGGAATAGATCTTTCTGGCTCTCTGACACATGCACACGCGCACACACACCAAATCACCTTTAAACCCTTCTGTCTGTCATCACCAGTACAAACATTTCTGTGAGGAGATCCAGACCCGACAGTATCGCTCACTAGAGGTTTTGCTGGGATCTGAGTATGGCCCACCTGCTGACATCTGGAGTGTCGCATGCATGGTGAGAGACAATCCAAACTAATGTGATGTTCACACTTTGAAATATTTAATCCCATAATGTTATGTTTATGTACCATTCCATCAAATGGGAATTAAAGTAATTTGCACAATTCGTAGCTAAAGCTATGCTGCCCTGTAGCTAAATGACCTATAGTGAAACCTTTCTGATAAAAAGCTATCTGTGCATTCTTACTTATTCTGTGTGTCACCACTAAATGTTCTCCTGAATTCTCTCAGGCCTTTGAGTTGATCACTGGAGACTCACTGTTTGAGCCCAGAGCCAGAGAGTCCATTTCCCTGGAGGAAGGTGTGTTTAGATGGCTGTGTGACGAGCACTGACACGGGATTAAGTGAGATTACACCATGCCTTCATTGTAATTAGGATACTAATGCATTCTGTGCCATGCTTGTATGTGTTTATCCACCTCAGATCATATTGGCCAGATAACGGAGCTGCTTGGCAAAATCCCGGCCGCTGTTGCCTTGTCGGGTAAATACTCTGCTGAGTACTTCAGCTGCAGAGGTGAGCGTCTACCTTCACTTCCAGATGAGGTCTTTCTTCCTGTGTTAATGTGTTGTTATTGCTGCCAGTGAGCTGCTCGTCTGTTGTAACAGTTTATGGTTTTCATCCAGGCGACCTGCGTCGTGTCGGTCCGCTGAGGTTCTGGAGCCTCTATGAGGTTTTGGTGGAGAAATACCACTTCCTGTTGGAGGAGGCCTCTGGGTTCTCTGACTTCCTACTTTCCATGTTGAATTATCACCCAGAGAAGAGGGCCACTGCTGCACAGTGTCTCCGCCACCCTTGGTTGACTTCTTGTTAGCTTCTTGTTAGGCCTCTGCAGCCCTTATAGACAGATGCTTCAAGTTGCTGCTAGACTTTGTCGATTTCAGGGCATCTTTGTGTTTTCACAGCATCTGATGGGCTTCTTATACAACATTCAAAAAAGAAGAATTTGAACTTCGCTACAAGAGCCCAGCAAAGCACAATGAGCTTTTTCAACTTCCTTGTGATCTTTTAAACAACCATGAGACGCTCAGCTCTGACACTGCTAATAAGTGTGAAGTTCTCAACCTGCAACCAAGTGTGGTTTAGTAATTCTTTAGTAATTTTGAAAATGATTTTCTATCTGAGAATGACTCAAACTGTAATAATTTGTTGATCTTTTACAGTGCACGTGCTCGTTTAGTTTAAGTTTTGTACAGTAAAGTGAAGCACTTTAAAGAACAAAGTGACATTAGGAGTGCAAATCCAAGTCAAGCCTTTTTTGTTGTTGATGTTTGTTTTACATGAGCTCAAATCATCTGATTAACCCTAAATTAATTCTGTAGCGACTTGTAAACCAGAAAAATATGGGTTTAGATATAACCCCCGCAGAGCCTGATTACAACATCCACACCACTGAGTCAGCCTAGAATGACATTAAGAGACTGAAAAAAATTCCAAAACCAAAACAATCTGAGAACTGTGTGCAAGTGCCAAGAGAACCAGTGCTGTGTATGGTTCATTTAAAAGTCCAAGCTATCTGACAGTTTTGGTCAGATCATTTTGTCTTTCGTATGTAAAAAGTTTACACGTAACTGGTTCTTATACTTAAATCTTCAGCAAGGACAAGTAAAGACTAACCTGACAATGATTTTCAAGAAAAGAATCTCTCTACAGTATTTCAAAAGAAGCAGGATGTTTCTCTCGCTGAAGAAAAAAGTTTTATAGAAATATGTGAGAGAAAAAAACGACTTCAGCTTCATTGGTTCCTGACCTTAGTAAATACATCTTACTTATTTATTTTGTAAATCATGACGAGCATTTGTGAGCAGAGGAACAATGAAGCAGGATGCGCTTCGAGGCTGGACATCGCAAAAAAGGGTCTTCCAAAAAGGTCACCATGGCTGCCCCCATCTTTCATATACAGTCTATGCTATTTTTCTTGGATGGTGACTGTTAATGCATCAGACGCTGCATTTATTGGGGTTGAGCTTCGTATAAAAAGAACTTTCTGGCACTGCAAACAGCTGTCCACTTTGAAACACTTTGAGTCGATACATGTTCTCAGAGACAGGCGCATTCATTCAGCATTCACCTGGTCATCAGTGACCCATCTAGTGTTGTAGTTAGGGCTGGGTTTTGTTTCTGCCACATGTTAAACAGGTGGATTTTCAGGTAGATTTCAAATCTTGTCTTAAAAGCTTGTTTCCTCTTTTGGTGTTCAAAATAGCTGGAAATCCTTCAGAAAGCCAAACCCTATAGTTGACAGTAGATGGGTTACACAGACCTGGGGGACGGTCAAAGGTTAATGCCATCTGTTGCAAAGCTCTGTAGGGTGAAAATTACAGATCAGAGAAAGAGATTGTCATTGAAATACACTCATGTTGAGCGGAATAACTGGAAAAGATCATATCCGACTGTCAAGCTAAACCAGAGTGTTGGATTATCGTCAAGGAGAGCACAGGGAAAAAAGGCACATAAAGCTACACATTCTAACAACTTGACCTTATTCCCTGTAACCAGAGCATCAAATAATAATCTGACTTGTCCTCATGAAAACTAAACACAGTAACATCAGCAAAGTTGCACTGACCAGGACTCTCGTGTTAGGACTGCACAACGTTTTTAGAGTGTATGTTTTTTACATATTTGATATTTTCATGTGAGTTCTCCTGTAGTGTTTCATCCTATCCAGCTGTAGGCTCGACACTCCACCAGTGGATTTTCTTTATAAACGACCGCGTAACCACACTCTATCCTGATCCGGCGACACTTCTTGGGCCACGAGGTGGGTTTCATCGGGCTGCAAAGGAGAAGCAGGGAAGAGAGAGGTGCTTTCATGAGGCTACAGTCATTTTAATAAATCAGCAGTGTTGTGCAAGTTACTTTAAAAAAGTAATTAGTTATAGTTACTAGTTACTTCTTCAAAAAAGTAACTGAGTTAGTAACTGACTTACAAGATTCTAAAAGTAATTAATTACTCAAAAAGTAACTATTGCGTTACTTTAAAAAAAAATGTTTAACCCTCGGGGGTCCAGGGTATAATTGGCCATTTTTAACTACTTTTGATTTTCCCTCCACATTTTCCCTTTAAAAACGATTTACTTTGCCTTGTTTAGTATCATTCTTTTCAGCACGACCTCACGTGTCTGAATTTATGTTTTATTTTGACATACTGTATTAACACAATTGATCTAAAATCAGACAAAAAACATAAAATCCGAGTTTAAAAAGTGATATTTTTTACTGTAAAAACCACAAACATGTTTATTGAATTATATTTCATAACTTTAAATGCAAATATAATTTGTCAATTTTAAAATCCTATGCATAAGTTTTGCAAACAACAAAGTTATTTGCAGTCATTTACCTTTTACCCCTTTTTAAAATAACCATTTCACACTATTTAGATAATAATCAGGTGTTCTGCATTCAATAAGATGCCACACAAATTATTTGTGCCACTCCAAAAAAATTATTTCTGTCCACTACAAAGGAGAACAATATTGACCGAACCAGCAGCAAAAGAAGATCCAAACTACGCTTCACATAAACATAGTCATGAATCCCCTCTGACTTTTGCTGTTTTGCTTCTACCACGATAAAATCATGCACAGCTCTCTCTCTCTCTGTATACTTCAAAAACAGTTTCCCGTCTAAAAATCTATTTTCTTCATTATTCGCTTGCTTGTTAAGCACAAGTCTACCGTTAATTACGATGCTGTCGGCCGCTGTTTTTTTTTTTTTTTCCTTGTACTTACTTCCGAAAAGAAAACCTAATTTCTGCTGTTCAATAGGCTTCTGAACAAATGTAAACTTTTTAAAATTATGCAAAATGCAAACCGCTTAGCCGTGTCTCTAATAAAACCTCTGTAACTTCAGAGGTAATGTTCATATGTTGATTAATGGTTTTCTTTCATTTTTGATGTACTGCAGAATATTTTTATAAAATCCCAGGCCAGGAAAACCTCCATGTTTTTCTGTGTTTTATCTTCAGCTACTTTGACACAAAGGCATCTGCTGTGACGCTCACACCTTTGATAAAGTCTTGCGTGTGTCAGCTTCCTTTTTATAGATACAAAAATATGTAAATGTACTGATCTGAATCATAATATTTCTGACTGTCTGAAGCAAAATTTCCCAGATTCAAATCGAATTGAATCAAATCAAATCGTGGATCGAATTGATTCGGGACTTTGTGAATTGGAATCGAATCAATTCTAGAAATCAGTGACGATACCCAGCCCTAGTCCAGATTACTTACATAGACAGCTACTTCCATGCAACTGATATAAGGTGCGGTAAGCTGAAGACAGCTTCAACAGTCTGTTTGTTGAAAAATAGTAACACGACCGCGCCACATTTTCTTGTTAGTAACGGTAACGGCATTGTAACGATAGGAATAGTAATTAGTTAGATTACTCGTTACTGAAAAAGTACCACGGTTAGTTGTAACGCTGTTATTCCCATCACTGTAAATCAGTGGCCTGAAATGACCTGAACTGGAAAAAAAAATTCTACTCACGCAAAGCAGTAGAAACCAAACGCGTGACAGAAGCACTTGTCGCAACCTCTCTGGAAAGAATCTCCTGCTTTGTAGTTCTTGTCTTTGGAGGAGCAGATGCCTGCGAAAGAAACGAGAGCCATGCTGTCAGATCTATCTCATCTGACTTTACATTTCTAAGCTCTTCTCTTTAGGTGAGCAGGTATGAAACTGCTGGGTAAAAATGCACTTTTTTCCCCCCAGGACATCGTAACTTTGCAAAGGCTATAAATGTCCGTCCTCTGGGCAGAACACATAAAGCCCCGCTGCAAGGGGTCAGGCACATTAATGGCTAAATCTGGCATCCGCAGTGAGTTTCCTCAGCGTTCCTGCAGGCTGCGGGTAGCTATCCTTATGGGGTTTGTCTGTCACCTTGAGAAGGGGATCAATAAGAACGCACTGATGCACTGTGAAGAGCTCCCAGGGGAATGAATGCAAGGTCAGGGTTATAAAGGACAGAGAGTTTGCGGTCAGCCAGTTTGTGTTGGTTTAACAGCCACAGCTTCCATAACTCAAAAGTGTTGATTAATGTGGAAAGTAGCAGCCCCTGAGCTGCGCAGGGTAATGTGAATACATTATCTTGAACAGTGGAGGAACAGAAGTGGTTCTTACCTTTTTTGTGGTAGACTGAAGCTTCTGAGCGTCCATCGCGCAACAGAAGGATGAGGGACACGCACAAGGCAAACACCAGCACTGAAGAGTAGCCATTATTTACCGGATGTGACATTGTGAAATATAACAAGAGAATTACCTGTTTTAAACTGGCGCTTTCACTCGTTTTAATCTTGTGTGACTGTCTGGTGGAGTCCAGTGAAGTCCCTGTGGTGGCCGTGTTGATGCTGGCTAATATTTATAGTCTCACAAGTCCACTGGAGACAGAGAGCAAGAGAGAGAAGAAGAGCATCTTGTGGTCTCCTGGTTTCTTTCCACTGTCCAACTTTTGTTTCAGAGTTTGAGTGTTTAGAGTTTGGCTGTGTAGCCATGCATCCCTAAATATTACCTTTGGCCATCAGCTGCTGCGTTAAGCCTGCATGGGTGAAAGTACGGGCCGATGTTTTGACGTGACAGTCGATCAGCTCAGCGGTGGTCCTGAAACATTCCTAACCTGCCTATTTAGCATCTATTTCAATTCACCATTTATTCCTTTCCTCCTGATACACGGAGGTGCTGACTAGTGAAAAAAAAACCCTGCTGAGACCATTAAAAAGAAAACAGCTGTTTGTGCTGACGTTGCCCCTTGTGTGAAGGGACAAATAATGAGAAAACGGCATTCTGAAACATTTTAAAAAGCGTGTGACAAAAAAAAAAATCACAGACTTAAAAAATCGCATTTCCTCTGGGGATCCAAGGTCTGGCCAGTACCATACGATGAGTTTGTAGCCCCAAATTGTTTGTACAGCACATTTTCCCCCTTCTTTTGATTGTTTACATATGCTGCTGTTTACATATGCTGCTGTTCACATAGCGCGATGTAAAGACTGCAGTATTGCCAGAAATGTATGTCACATATAACTTAAACTGTCTGATGTCTGGGGGAAAGACCCCTTAATTTAAGGCAAAGATCAGAAAATTGCCATATGTGAGTGTCATGTATGAAAATGGACCAACAGAGAAAAAGAGTCATATCCTCGATGTTGATTTGACACACACACACAGATGGATATGGCTGGATGTTTGAGCAACCAAAGGACAGCTTGTGGCCAGTTTCTTCCTTCCTGACAGCCTCGGGCCAATAGCCAGTCAACACACCACGCTCTCACAGAAGGCAAAAACAAAACAAACTACAACATCAAGGGACTAGAAAGAACTTGTGGTGTCCTAGGGCGCCACTGCTAGCTTCCACATAAACCCCTTTAGTCACACCGGAACATTCTGAGAGCTGTGGCCTGGTGAGACACCACAATAGGGTGAAATGGAGATGTTAACCCTGTTGTAGGTGTTGGCGGCATCCAATGAATTTTGGATTATACAGTCCATCTTCGTTGGTGTCCATAGCCAGCGTTGAATACACTGTTGAAATTGAAGTGGAGGTCAGCTTGGCTCATAGACATACTATTGTTTATTGTTTAAATTCCATGTAGGATAGTTTCAGTCCTGCCACAGATGTATAATTAAAGTGTTGCGTTTAACTTTAACCACTTCTCTAACCACATCCAGCTTTTTTGTTGGGCCTTATTCCCATAAAACCTGAACCATAAATAATTTGCCCAAACCATAATTTCTTTAACCTTCGCCATGACCTATTTGTCATGCACAGATATTTGCAAAAAAAAGCAACAAGTCAGAAAAACGTTGGTTTTGGACGGACTTCAGGGTAATAACATGTTCATTGCTGGGTGCTGGGATAAGCTTTTGATCTCTGTGAACCTGTACGTAATTTTTTTTCTGTATAAAATAGCCACGTCCAGCTGTATTTGCTGTCTCCATAACTCAGTTTGATCCTTTTGGACAGATAACACAGTGCTTTTAGGTATATGTTATACGGAAAAATGTTTAAAAGAAGTAAACTAGGGCTCAACCTCATTCTAACCAATTTATCTGCTTCACTGGAGACAGTTCTGGGTGATTTCTATTAAAAAAGCTCTTGAAATACTCCTGCACCACTCTTCATCCAGTGCCATTCAATTAGCCAGATATACTGCAATGAGATGCACTGTTGCATCAGCGGGAGAAAATTTCTCCCCCCTTAGGTATTCCACGATAAACTGCAAGAAGCCTTGGATGAACCGGGATGCTCGTCTCCTCCTGAAGGCCTGCAACACTGCCTTTAGGTCAGGAGATGCACACGCCTACAGTACAGCCAGTGCTAATCTAAAGAAGGGCATCAAAAAAGCCAAACACCATTACAAAAAGAAGGTAGAAGAACACTTCTCCAACTCCAACCCCCGACGCATGTGGCAAGGACTCCAGACCATTACAGACTACAGGACCACCAAACCCTCCCCCGCATCCTCTGATGTCTCCTTCCTCAACGAGGTCAACAACCTTTATGCTCGTTTTGAGCGAGGGAACCCCACAACCACAACCAAAGCAGACTTGACGCCAGACCACCAACCTCTGACTCCCTCCCCCACCGATGTAGGAGCGGTGCTAAGCAGGATCAATGTCCACAAGGCTGCAGGTCCTGATGGCATCCCCGGGCGTGTTCTCAGAGCGTGTTCTGGGGAGCTTGCAGGAGTGCTCACAGACATATTCAATCTGTCCTTGGCCCACGCTGTGGTACCGGCCTGCTTCAAATCCACCTCCATCGTCCCGATACCCAAAAACTCCAACCCATCTTGCCTTAATGACTACCGCCCAGTAGCACTCACCCCCATCATCACTAAGTGCTTAGAGCAGCTGGTCCTAGCACACTTCAAAT